GGGGGGGGGGGGGGGGGGGGGACTGTGGCTCCTTTGAGAGGCACGGGGGTTGGGGGGGAGACATCGCCAGCTTCCGTCAGAGAAGACAAGGCCTCGGGAGCTGGGGAAAGAAGGAGAGCTCTGGAGTAGCCATGTCCAGAACCTTGGCACTGGGCCCCAAGGTTCATTCGGCTTTTGCAAAAATTGGCATGGCCTGTTCTAGGCTGACTCGAGTTTGACAGGGCCTGGGGAGGATAGTTCAGAGCACTGCAGAAGGAAAAGGCAGAGGGTGGCAGCCCTGTGCTAGCTCCCGTGCTGGCACTAGCCCTGGCCCAGCTGGAGGGAGGGCAGGGGTAGGGAATAGGCAGGCTGTCCTCACCGCTGGCAGCACTGGGAGGCCGGCCCACCTCCGGGGCCAGCCCCAGCCAGCTAGAGGAATCATGGGAGGGTATTGTCTTTCCTCAGCAGCCTGTTTGTTTTCCATCCCCAGATATTACTGGTGGAGCATGAAAGGTCAGAACCATTTGGAATCCAGTGAATTTCTCAGCCTCGCTTGGGTTTCTCATCAAGAATTTCCTTTTCTGGTGAACAAGCACTTCCCCAAGCCTGCAGAGACCAGGGTGGTGGTGGGGTGCAGGCCTGGCTGCCACCACCAGTCCCTCCCTTTAGAAAATGCCTCACAGAGAGCCCCACGGCCAGACTAGTAGCTGCTGTCCCTGCTCAGGGCTGCCCACTGTGCCTCCCCACAGGGACAGGGCTGGGAGAAGGCTAGAGACTCAAGGCCCCATGGGAGCCCCACTCAGCCCATCGAGTGCCTGTTGCCAGGAGCTTGCTTGCATTAGACTTGATGGAGGGGTGTGAAGGCAGTGGGCTGGGGTCAGGGAAGGCCTCCCGAGGACATGTTGCTTTGGATGAGACCTCAAGGGCAGGGGGCAGGGAACAGGGTGGCCATGAGCTTAAGGCTGGACAGAGCAGTGCTGTGGGAGTGAAATGAGCTGACGATGGCCACAGGAGAGGGAGAGAAGAGAGGCAGCATGGCGGGGGCATGGGCTGGCCAGAGCCAGGAACACTGGGGCAGGAGAAGGCTGGGCCTTGGGCCTGTCTTTGAGGACACTTGGGCCACCTCCTTGTTGATAGGTTCAGAGAGTCAAAGCCTTCGATGAAGCACAGGACAAACTCGGCCTTCTGGGTCCTGGCACACCTCTGGGCACAGGCTTGGCAGGCACAGCCTGCCAAAGAATGGCTCTGGGAACCAACCTGGCGCCGAGGGAACACGCCATGCTCACCCTGGAGTTGATGGATAAGAAAGCCACCAGATCCGGGTGGGGAAGACCTTAAAGTGCCAGTGCTCGCCAGACACAGGGTGCAGCAGAAGTGAGCAGAAGCCCAGGGGGCTGACCACCTAAGCCCGGGTGACTGGCAGCTGCAGGGTGGCTGGCAGACCTGCCACGGCTACATCCCTGGGGCATCCCCTCATCTGCTGGGACATTCCCTCTGCCCAGAACCACACAACGGGGGCAGCCGGAGGAGTAAGGGAAACTAGAACCCTAAGGGACCACTCACAGAGCCAACGCTGGGAGCAGGTGAACTGCAGGTAGCCACAGGCTTGCCCCCTCTTCCTGTGGATGCAGCATCTGGGCCCATTGCCTCTCCTACTGGGGACACCATCAATACCTGGGCACAGCTCCAGGAAAGCCCCTAGATGCATGGAGAGGAGGGGAGGTAAGCCCTGCCTCCTGCTTCATGCCATCTGATGAAAGCCACAGACCTTTTCTCTGCCCAGACAGCACTCAGGCACCAGCACCATGGCCAACACCTTGAGCAATCCAGACTCCCTTGGGGGCCACAGGCCCGAAGTTAGAACCCTTGGCTGAACCCAAAGAATAAAGCTTGCCTTAACAAGACCAGGTGAAGGAGAGAGCCTGACTGGGCCCTCATCTCCCAGCATAGGGGAGTTCCATGTTCAAAGCACTCCCTACGAGTGTCATGACCCTCCCCTGAGCCCTGGGGCACCTACAGCCACACCTTCAGCTCCTCAGGAAACTCCCTTTGCCCGACTCCTTCTCCCCCAGGGTGAAAGGCTTCTCTCTTAAGGGCAGATTCGGGGTCTTCACTCAGGGCTCCTGCCTATCACAAAACCTCTGCTGAGTGGGACAGCCCCAGGGTGGGGCGGCCCTGGCCACGCCCATCCCTTGTCTGTCTACATGGCCTCTCCTGCTGCCACTCCTGGGCAGCCAAGGAGACCATAGGTGCCTCGTGTGCAGGGCTTACTGCCTCGGTTGGGCCTGTGCATGCTGCCCACCCTCTCCTTGACAAGGGCCTGGCACCCCCGCTCCCTCCAGTAACTCCCCCCCCACGCACAGTGGTTTTCAGCCTGGGCAGGGGGCTCAAAAGAATCCCAACACCTGCCTTATCCCACCCCCTCACCAAGCTCCCAACACCAGGATCCCAAGCCCAGGTCCTGGTACCCCTGGGATTAAACCTTCTGAATAGTTGTTAACCCCATCGACACAACTCTTGTGATCAAGATGGAGCTGTGGGGGTGGCTACCGTTCCCTGGACCTGCACAGTACCCAGCGCTGGGAGGAGCTTCATGGCTTTGCCAAACTACCACATGGGCCAACAATGGATGCCTGGCCGGATCCCATCCTCTCTTGTCCTGCAGCCTTCACACCCTGAGCCCTATAAGTCTGGAGTGTGGTCTGTTCCCCGTACTGAGGCGGGGGTGACCTGGGCACCTGGGGCCTTCAAGTGCCACAAGGGAAGTGCCATCTGTTGCTGGCTGAGGGCAGCCATAGCTGATGGTGCGTCTCTGCCTAGTGGGCCTCCATCTGTGCAGCCCAGGGGTGCGGCTTTCACTTGGGTGGTGTTGGAGCCCCAAGTGCCTATGAGGTCAGAGTGGGGCCCTCCCCAGGCTGGGGCAGCCATGAAGACCTGACCTGTGAGGGCCCAGCATGGCCCTGAACACCAGGGGCCTCTCCTTTGGGGCTGACATCCCAGCAGCAGGTGTGACACCGAGGTACTGTGGTGCCCATGACACGTGCCACACTCCACACTCTGCTCCCTGAGCACAGCTCAAGGGGCGGGCCTGCCCCCACCTCACCGGAGCCTCCTCAGGCATCACGCAGGTGGGCCAGGCTTGTGCCAGGCTCCCCTTCTGACTGCAGCCCCTCACCACCCCCAGGAGCCCACCTGCTTCCCAGGAGCTCACTAGAGTATGAACAAACAGAGGAAAATCCCAGGCTCCACTCACCGTCTGGTTATCCTCATAGAGCTTCAGGTCGTAGCCACTGAGCTCCACGCAGAAGATGATGGCTGTAACACCCTCAAAGCAATGGATCCACTTTTTGCGTTCTGACCTCTGCCCACCCACGTCCACCATCTTGAAGGTGAGCTCCTTGAAGGTGAACTTGTTTTCCACGATGCCCGTGGTCATGTCCCGGGAGCGCAGGATGTCCTCGACAGTGGGGATGTAGTCAGGTGCAGCAATGCGCTCCAGGTCATTCAGGTAGTAAGCCGCGTTGTCCTCCAGGTGGTACTCACTGGAGCGGCCGAAGCAGGCCTGCGCCCCGGGGTCAGCCCACAGCCGCCGCATGACACCCAGCAGCTCCGGAGTGATCTCGCCCTTACTCTCAGCGGGGCCAGTCAGCGCGAAGAGCTGCACTGCGTCGTAGGCGCGGTCGGGGTTGTGGAAGTCAATCTTGAGGGCGGCCAGGGCCCGGATGATGCGGGTCAGCGAGTCGATGGCGTTGTAGATGATGAGGGGCTTGTACTCCTTGCAGGCCTCCAGGTTGAAGCCGCCACTGTGGATGATCTTCATCTGCTTGACGATCGTGCTCTTGCCCGAGTTGCTGGTGCCCAGCAGGAGCAGTTTGATCTCACGGCGCTGCCGCTGGCTCTCGGAGCGCAGGTGGCGGTCGATTCTCCGGGACCGCCGCGCCGCCTCTTTCTCCTCTGAGCTTTGCCGACATCCCATGGTCCGGCAGCGGCAGGCCCAGACAGGAACACGGGACGGGGCGCCTCTCCCTCTCACCCGCTTTGCCTGGCCACTGAGCTAGAAAGCCGTAGCGGGGGACACTGAAACACAGGCCAGTGCGCCCTGCAGACAAGAACCCAGCTGCCCTCAAAGCACTCAGTGCCTGCAGGGGGGCGAGGCCGTGCCACCCTGCAGCCCCTGCCCCAGCATCTCTTCTCCAGCTGGCATGGTGCTCTGTGGAGCAGGGTGGTGGCCGCACCCTCTCCTCTAGTGACACTCCACCTCCCTTGTCAGCAGTGCGGCCTGATTTGCTGTAGTCATTCCCTGTCCTTGGCCGACCACGGTGGGAAGCCGTCTGCTTGCGTCTGCCTAGGCTGCTGCCCTCTGGTCGCTGGTTGCTGTGGCGATGCTGCTAAGCTTGGCTGGAGGGCCGGCCACTGGTGCCGCCTGCGCTCCCTGTGGCCCCCCTGCCTCAGGCTGCTCTTGCTCCCGGCCGTGCATCCGGCCCCTCACCTGCCAAACACAGAGAACAGCATGAGCCACCCAGTCTCCTCTTCCTGGCAGCCCCACCTCAGGCTGGATGGGGAAAGGAAGCCCTTCGGGACTATGGAAAGTGAAGCAGCTGAGGCTGGCTTCAGAAAACGGGCTGGGAAGAATCCGTCAAATCCCCTCTCCTCCATGGAGTGCTGCAGGGTTAGCGTCCAAACCACAGCCAAACAAGCACACCTGGCTGCTGCCTGGCCAGTCTGCCTGAGCCAGGTACAAGAGGGAGAGGAGGGCGGCGTGTGCGGGGCCACTGCCCACCAGCCCCAGACCTGGACTCGCCTCTGCCACCTACTGGACCCAGCTGACCTCATCCTCCTGAGCCTTGGTCTCTGTCTGGTTAGGATTCAATAAGGGGACACTGCTGTGATGCCCTGCAGGCCCTCTTGACCACGGGCACTGATGGAGCTCAGCCCCACTCTGTTTTACACTGGGGTCCTGGCCTTGGCCCTACCTTAAGGAGGCCCAGACCCGAAATAATTGGGCACCTCCCTGACTCCCACCATCTCCTGCAGGATCTGGGTCACCGCTGTTCTCAGGGAGGGACATGAACCCCTGCCTTCTCTTGAGGTCAGTCTGCCTGCTGGACCAGCCCTAGGAGTGAGCAGAAAGGCAGGGACTAAAGCAAAGTGGAGGCTGGGCCTTGTGGAGTGGGCAGGGATGGCGTCACTCCTGGTAGGGTGAGGCAGAGCAAGGCTTGGGCTGAGATAGGGGGCAGGGTTTGCACAAGATGCTGTGGTGAAGTCCTTCTTGGGAGGGCAGTGTTGCCAGGTGTGGGAGGTGGGAGAGGCCGGAGCAGCTCCCAAGGGCAGTGGTAATACGGAGTCCAGGGCAAGGAAGGGCAGTCCAGTGGCTTCCCAGTCCCAGGCTGAGTCTCTCACTGACTCTGAACGGGGCCTCAGCATCCACACTCCCCACCAGCCACCTGCTGGCCAGCAGTGAGAGGGGACACCCCTATGACCTGCCAGGAGTCTGGGCCAGGACTCTCCCCCATCAGGGGCAGCCTCAAGGCTCAGGCTTCTGCCCCTGACTGGGAGCCCAGGGTGGCACCTGCCCCCACCTGCCCACACACACTTGCCTTCCTTCCCCTGACCTTTGTCCCCGTCTGGTCACCCCCAGACAGCCTCCACCCATCCTGCCACAGCCAGTGTTCATCCCTCTAATGCCCCTATTGTCCCCACGGAAGGCCCCAGGTGGGAGGGCCCGAGGCAGACAGACCCCAACAGCCAAGCTTCTACCCTGTCACACTCATAGGAGTGCCTTGCATCGCAAACTGAACCTGCCCAAACAGGTCGGCTCTCCCCACCTGCTCTGCTCCGGCACCTCAGGAAATGGCACTCCATCTTCCCAGCTGTCACCCACACCGCTCCCTGCCTGGCCCTCACCCCTCACAGACCTTCCACCACTAGTCCCAGTGATCCTGCTCTGAAGCACACCCAGGTTAGCCTGTTCTCTCCCCGGGCTGAGGTTCTGCCTCTCCCAGTGGCTGTGGCTTTCCATGCTCTCCCCGCTCCCTGGGTCCACCTGCCTCGGAAAGTCGGGGTTCCTGAAGCATCTCTGATGCCGCCTCTCTTCCTTGGTCAAACCTCCACGATTCCCTATTGCTCTCAGGGTGATAAGTCTCATCCTTTGGGCGGCCTGGCCCTGCTTGCCTCTCCCCTGCTGTGTGGCCTTGGCATCTTACTCCACATCTCAGACCTGTCCCTCACTGGTCACAGGTATCTGTGAGGAGTAAAGCATCTAGCACAGAGCCTGGTAGTCAGCAAGTGCCAGCCAGTGGCAGTCACTACCCACTGTCCCCGTCACTGTGTGTCCCCTTTTCTACCTTCTCAGATGGTTCCACCCTTTGCCTTGTCCTCTCCTTGCTGCTGCCTACACAGCAGCCCTCAGCTAATGTGTGACCTACGTGACCTCGTGTGCTGACACCACCTCCTCCTCAGACCAGGAGTGCCAGGTGAGCAGGGCCTGTCCCGGCCTTGCCCCCCATCAGGAACAGAGCAGTGCCGGGCATACAGCAGGTACTCAGTAAACATTGGTGGGCGGAAGGAAGGAATCAGACTTGGAGAGGGCAAGGAACTTTCCCTCTTCTCTGCAGTCCCACCTGCCAGCAGCCATGGATGAGGGGAGCACCAGGGAACGCCCTAGAAATGTCTCTGCTGAGACACGAGTGATTAAATGGTCATTCAGCTCAGGCCCCATGGAAGTTGAAAATTATGCCTGAGAGTGGAAGCCCTGAGACAACCCCCCACCTCAGCAGAGTGGGTGCTAGCAGAGAATCTGCTTAAAGATGACACATACGTGATACATGAAGTACACATGTACACATACACACGTGTGTGCACACACACACAACACACATGCAGGCAGGGGTCAGGGAGGTTATTCTCCAAGGAGCAATGAGTTCTGGGTTGTGGAATCACAGGGGCTTTTTTTCTTCTTTGCACTTCACCATACTTTCTATATTTCCTTCAATGAGCTTTTCACAGATAAAAGGTTTGTGTCATGGCATTCACAAGGCTGCCTCTCATCCCCCCAGGGTTTGCTTCTCTCTACCATGGACAGTCAGCATGTGGGAGGTGGGGACCCTGTGGCTACTCCCTCGTCCCTGCTGATGACCCAATAGCCCCTTGGGTGTACAAAGCGTCTACAGCCCAGGATGTCTCCCTTCACCCCAGCAGCTGCCTGGGCCCTCCCTCCTGAAGGCAGTGTCCGACCCGACCCGGCTGGGGATGGCCCCTGTCGTCGTCACTTTTTTCTTAATTTAGTGATTTAAAATCAGGCCCCAGCTGACTGATTCTCCTTCAGCTGGTCAGCGTCAGGGACGAAGATCGCCCAGAAAAGGTTCCTCCCAAATGAGCCTCCCAAGCTGTTTGCTGCCACCTGAGTAAAACAGGCTCCCAGCTGTGGAGACCTCATCTTGGAACAGGGTCTAGTCCAGGCAGGTGACACGGGAACCCCAGAGCTGCCCTGAACAGAGACGTGGCCACTTCCTGGCAATGCAGCATAAGATCACCTCTGCCTCAGGTCCCTCTCAACCCCCAGACCCTTCACCCCCATAACACGGGCCTCGGGAGCTTGCTGAGCCCAGTACATGCTGTTCTCCACAGGGCTTGCTTCAAACCCCGGGCCACTTCCTGGGCCACTCTGCATCTGTGGCATTTCTCGCCTGGCTTTTGTAGTGGACTTCTGCCTGCTCTCTGTAGTTCACCTCACGAAAGGCTGCCTCCCCCGCCAGCGCCGCTGGGGCACTCTCTCCTCTCTCCAGCAGCCCATGCGTCTCTGCACTGCACCCTCCCTTTCTCCGGTCTCTCCTGTGAGGCTCGGATTTCCTTAAAAGTGGGGAGGCCGTGTGGTACAGGAGAAAGAGGCAGGCCTGTGCCCAATCCTGGCTTCACCCCACCAGTAGAGGGTGGCTCTGTGAGCCTGGCAGGTTCCTGTGGGCAGTGTACTTCCCCCTAACCCCAGCTCCCTCTGTCACCCACACGGTCCACCGTGGGGACTAGACGTGCCCTGCCCTGGTGGACCTCAGCCTGGCGCCAAGTCTAAAGGAGGGTGAACCACGTCCACCCAGCTTTCATCTCGCAAGGCAGGCAGAGAAGCTGCTCTGTCCAAGGATATGTGATTTGTACTTTGGGAAGCACGTGCTACACAACCTCAAGGCTGAGAGGCTGGGCTTCAGGGAATTGGGAGAGCCGGTGGGGGGAGTGGCTGGGAGCCTGGGGCCTGAACTCCTGTTGTCTGAAAGCTCTGAGCTGAAGGCTGACCACTGGTCCTTGATCAGTGCACACTGGCAACCACAGGGCAGTGCAAGAGCAAAGGGGAAATGGTGGTCAGGTGATGACGTGAGCACTGGGGCCAAGTCTGTAGTCTGCATGGGGCAGCAACTGACCAACAGTAACACTGAAGGTGAGTCCCCTGCCCACAGCACCCTCTTCTTTCAGGTCGCCAGAACCAAATGAGCTGAAGGCCCCACCCAGAATTCTCACTGCAGCTCTGCAGGCTTAGCCAGGTTCTGGGGCTGGGCACAGACACAGGGGTCCTGTGAACAAGGAGCCTGGCCATGGTCCAAAGGAGACCTCAGGACAGTCCCACTTGCTCTGAGGATTGGCTTCTTTGCTTTCTCTTAGTTTAATCTGGGCTTTACTGGACCTTGAAGGGCTTTACTGGACCTTGAAGGACTCCCCAAGTCCCAGAATGAAACCTGATGACAGCTGACCCAGAGGCAAAGGCCAAGAGTTGGACGACCACATTGTTGCCTGGCTCAGAAACTGCTCACGGGTCCCCAGGATCCAATACCCAGGACCCCTCACCACAGTGCTGCTAGGAATGACTGGAAATAAAGGAGGAATGGGTAAGGGAAAGAGCCTACCAGGCAGAGGAGGAGCATGTGCAAAGGTCCTGTGTTGGTGTTGGTGGTGGTGGTGGTGGTGGTGTGTGTGTGTGTGTGTGTGTGTGTGTAGAAGGTGGGAGAGACGAACCATGGTGACTATGGAACTGAAAGAAGGTCAAAGTAGCTAGACACAGAGAGAGGAGGAGAGGACAAGGTGAAAAGAAGGGGCAAGGAGGACCAGGAGAGGTCTAACTGGGGCCTTGCTCTTCATTGCAGAAAACTCGGAAGCTACTGAAGGGTTTTAAGCCATGTGTGCAGGTGGATGTTAGTGACAGTGTGTGGTTGCCTGTGCGCAGGTCTGTGTATAGGTGTTTGTGCGCACATGCAGGTCCATGCCCATGTCTACACGTGGTTGTGCGTGTGCAGACCCATCCGAATGTGTATACACACAGCTGCATGTGTACCAAGGCACGCACATATCATGTGGAGAGGAGGGACCAGGTGTAGGGTGGAGGCAGGTTGAGGCGAGTGGCTCACTGTTATCCCACACTTGCTTACAGAGCTGTGGCTTTGTGCCTGGACTTGGTGGTGGTGGTTGGGGGGAGGGGGCAGGGAGAACTACTGAATAAGGCAGACCTGGTCCCTGCAT